CCAGAGAGCTAGGATTACAGGTGTGAGCCACCGCACCCGGCCTGACATAGTCCTTTGACCTTGAGGCTGGAATAAGACTATCAAAAAATTTACACAATAGGGTGCAATAACTGCCCACAAATAGGGAGCACAGAGCGGGAGATACTTTCTGCCACAGGCTTTATCACTCACAGGTGGCCAGGTTGGGGGAGGCTCCCAGGCTGAGGGATGACCAGTGGAGATGTGGACAGCCTGCTCCATTCAGGGAACTGTAACTCCTCAGAAGCCAAAGTGATGGGTTTAGGTCAAGAAATGAGACTAGAAAGTTAGGCAAAAGGGCCAGATCACTTTTTTTTCTTTTTGAGACAGGGTCATGTTCTATTGCCTAGTGGGGTGATCACAGCTCACCACAACCTCCAATTCTGGGGCTCAGGCAATCCTCCTGCCTCAGCCTCCTGAGTAGTTGGGACTACAGATGCGCACCACCATGCCCAGCCAATTTTTTCTATTTTTTGTAGAGATAGGGTCTTGCTATATTGCCCAGGCTGGTTTTAAACTCCTGGCCTCAAGAGATCCTCCTTCCTTAGCCACCCAAAGTGCTGGGATTCCAGGTGTGAGCCACCATGCCAAGCCTATGAAAGGTGTTTTAATGCTGCAAAAAAGGAGTTTGAATTTTATTCTGTAGGTTACGTTTTTCAAAGTGGGTTCTTCTAAACCCTGGCATTAGACTTACCTGGGGTGGTTGGTAAATTTGAGGCCGTATTCCAGGCCTGTTGAAATCAAAATTTCTAGGGGTAGGGCAAGAGATATATTCTTTAAACAAACTCCCCAAGTAACTCCTATGTACACTAAACTTTATAATAATGATGATGACACAATAATAATGATTATAATATTAATAGCTGACATATATTGAGACCCTACTATGTTCCAATCATCCTTCTAAGGACTTTACATATTATAACTTATTTAATCCTAACAATAGTTCTACGCACTTGAAACTCGGACTTGGGGAGGGGCAAGGGCAACATACATAACCTAAACATCTGTGCCTCCATAATATCCTGAAATAAAAAACAAAAAAAAAACAATAGTTCTGAGTTTGGTACCATAATAAAAATAATTTTACAGGGGAAGAAACAAATACAAAGAGATTAAGTTACTTCCTCTGTGTCACAAGCTAGCAAGAGGAGGCGGGATACAAACATAAGCAGTCTGATTCTAGAAATCAATTTGGAACTCACACTGTACTCACTATAGACTGTTTAAAGGAACTGTGGAAGATGTTTAAGGGAATGATACAGTCATAAGTGCTATTTAGGAGATCAGTTTGGCAGTGAGCATGTAAGACTATATCAGAGGATGAAGGAGGAGAGACTGATGCTGAGTAGGCCAGTCTGGAGCCTTCTAACATAGAATTAGGCTACAGTTGCTGGAAACCTGGAAGTACAACAGTGGCAGTGGAGAGAGAGATATTTACTTGAAAGTGATTGAAGACAGAAAATGAAAGTGTAATCTAGGATGAGGCCAGCTGTGGTGGCTCACACCTGTAATCCTAGCACTTTGGGAGGCTGAGGAGGGAGGATCACTTGAGGCCAGGAGTTCAAGACTAGCCTGAGCAACATAGCAAGACCTTGTCTCTACAAAAAATTAAAAAATTAGCCAGGTGTGGTGATGTGCACCTGTAGTCCCAGTTACTCAGGAGGCTGAGACAGGAGGATTGCTTGAGCGTAGGAGTTCGAGGCTGTAGTGAGTTATGATCAAGCCACTGTACTCCAGCCTGGGTGACAGAGCGAGACCTTGTTTCTAACAATAACAATAATAATAACCTAGGACAAGTGCTGAGGCCTTGCTTTGTCACTTTTGTCATGTGAGGCCAATCATTGGGCTACAAAGAGAAGGAGGAGCAGAATGTGGGCAGAACACTGACCAAGGTTAATTCTTGCTCATGCCAAAGGGCAGACGGTAGCTACTTCCCTTGGCCAATGGAGAGTGCAAAAGTGTGGGGAAGAGAGCAGTGTGGTAAGGTAAGACAGCCCAAATGGTGGAAATCACTAGGTGCAGTTGACTGGTGATAAGGATGCCATCTGTTCACATGTGTCTCTGAACAAAGCTCTTCCTTTCCCTGAGAAAAGCATGCCGCACACAGGGAACCTGAGGCTGTTTCTCATGTAAGCACGACAATGCAAAGTTGTAGAGGGCTCTCTTCTGACTGAGCTGTTTGCTGGCAGTCCAGCTCTGAAACTCTAGGATTTCTGGAATCACCAGAGAGCGAAAGTTACCTCTTTCAGAAGTTCTTGCACATGCTCTTCTCCTGATAAGTTTTGTTCTAGTCTCTTCTCCAAGGATGCGACCTTCTCTTGCAAATGTGTGATAACTTTCTCTTTCTCTTGAGTTTCAGTCGTGACCTGCAGGTGAAAGCAGAGATCATACTGTATTATAAGCCCTCTCCTACCTTCCTTCCTTCCTGCCTCCTCTTGGGCCATTACATTTCTGTGAAATTCTGTTCTCGCTGCCTCCTGGAACAACATACAGCTAAGGAATCTTCCTTGAAAATGAGACACAGAAGATGCAAGATCAGAACCCACTGACACTCAGGGATCCAGTTCAGACCTAGTGCAGCAAGAGGCAAACATTTTTCCCAATGTAAGCAACTGACAGTCTGAAAAGGAACAAAGCCATTACCTACCTGGTAGAGGTAACAGAGCTAATCCCATCCAAGAAGCTCCCAGCCTGCTCTGCAATGACCTACATAACAATGCTCCTGGAAGTCAAGGGGTTAGATGAAGCATTAACAATGCCAACATAGCTGCTTTAAGGCTGGAGAGAGAACTTCTGAAATGATGATATTCACCCTGGCTCAGGGCACAGCTGAGCCAGGGCCCTTCACACCTTGGCTCCAGACCAACAGCTACCCACTTCATTTCAGTCTATCTCTTTAGCAATGATGGTAGTGGTAATGGTGGCAGGTTGGGACTAACTTTGTTCCTTTCACTACTACCAATCTTCAAATGCTGCTCAATGTCAAAGCAGAGACTCCAAGAAGCTTTGAATACACAAGTTCTTAGACCCCTAGTGGTCCCTGCATCCACAAAGGATGCCCATTCTTCTCCCCTAGAAAGGGCTGTATGGCATCAAAATCTCATTGTGAAGACTTGTACCTCCTTACAATACTCTTCTCCCTCAAATTCCCTCATCTTATGCTTCTGTTGCTCCATCTTAAGCCACAGACTTTCATGTTCAGTTTGCAACCTGGCCAATCTTTCCTCAGAATAAGATGTGGCAACCTGGGCCTAGGGGTGCCATTCTGAATCTCATAGGCGTGACAACAGAGGTAGTAGTGGAGGGGAATCGAAGACTGGATTCACAACCCCACAACTTGATACACTTTTAACAAGTCTAAACTTTATCTGCTGTTTTCTGGGGATACAATCTGACACAGTTCCTGATCCACAGAAGCCTGGAGGCTGGTGATGGAGGCACATATACACACAACTGTTTATAAAACAGTATAATCATGGACACAACAGATGGACACACAAGGTGCTATGAGATGTCAGAGGCAGGAGGAATTAACTATCTGGGAGAATCAGATCAGGCCTCCTAAACGGGCAAGTCCAGGTGGAAGGGTGTGGGAGAGGAGCAGGAATTCTGGGTAAAGCGCAGCATATGTAAAGAGGTAACAGACAAGTACAGCAAGACCAGGAGGCTGGGTGGGATGAAAGAGGAGCTGAACACAATTCCCAAGTCTTTGGCTCAGACGCCTGGGTAACATTAGGCGAGGCAGATAACACAGGAGGGAAAGTGAGTTTGCTACACACATCATATACAAGTCATTGTGTTAGGCAAAGTTGGGGACAGAAAAAGAATCAGTTACCAAGTTCCATTTAGTCTTCCTGTGCAATATATCAAGGTGCAACCTCCTTCTCCAGGCTGGCTGACTTACTGCAAGTCCCCTGCACCTCCCATGGACCACTGGAATAGCACCAAGCCACGCTTCCTGACGCCAAGCCTGCCCTTTCCTTATGACTGCCCCTCACCCACTCCCTCGCCAAGTCTAGGCCTCACAGTTACAGTCCTAGAATGCAGACTGTATCAAGATTGGGTGTGTGGACACTGGATTCAGACAGACATGAGTCTGAATCCTGGCTCTGTTGTTTATTTCATCTGTGTGACCTTGGACAAATCATTTAGCCTCTCAGATCTCAGAGGCTCATTTGTATTATCTTTAAAATGGGAAAACAATGTTTAACCAAAGGGTAGTTGTGAGCATTTGATGAGTCCCTATATGTAAAGCACTTGAATACTGAGCACAGGCTAACTGTTCAGCTATTTATGTTAAAGATTCGCTAATGAATATTTGTGGAGTTTCACTTTCACTATTTACACAAACTGGCCCCTGCATACCTCTCCAGCCTTTTCTAGCACCACTTCTACTTCCTCTCCGATCTCTGGCCATGTAGCTATCCTTTCGCTTCTCCCAACATGCCTTTATCCCTCTTCACTATAAAATGTATTTATTTAAATAAAGTGAGATGATTTCCATAAAAATATTATGTTAAGTACAATACAGGTTGGAAAAGGCATAAATTGGGAAATGCAAAGATAATGGCTGCAGCTGAGGAATTACTATCAGAGTAAAAAAACTGTAATTGTGAACATTGTGGATTAAATAAAAACACAGTGGAAAGAATTAAAGTAAAATTTTGTTCATTTGGCAAGAATGAACAAGAAAAAAATAGAAAATGCGTAAGCACTGCTAAGAAGGAAGAGAGGGTAGCAATTAAAAAGAAGAGAGGCAGGGCACAGAAGCTCACACCTATAGTCCTAGCACTTTGGGAGGCTAAGGTAGGTGGATCGCTTGAGGCCAGGAGTTCAGGATCAGCCTGAGCAACATAGGAAGAGTCTCTACAAAAAAACCAACAAAAAAATTAGCCGGGCATGATGGATGGCATGTGCCCTGTAGTCCCAGCTACTCGGGAGGCTGAGGCAGGAGGATCACTTGAGCCCAGGAGTTTGAGGCTGCTGTGAGCTATGACTATGCCACTACACTCCAACCTGGGTGACAGAGTAAGCTCCTGTTTCAAAAAAAATAAAAAAGAAGAAAAGAAAAAAAAGAATATAAGGAACATAATACCAAAAATACTGAACTTATAGCAAATGGACAATTATGTAGAAAAATATAAACTAACAAAACTAACTCAGCGCCAGGCACAGTGACTCACGCCTATAATTCTAGTACTCTGGGAGGCCAAAGCGGGGGGACTGCTTGAGCTCAGGAGTTTGAGACCAGCCTGAGTAAGAGTGAGTAAGATCCCATCTCTAAAAAAACTGACTTGGGGAGGAAATATGTACAATTAGAATAATTCTATTATCATTAAAGAAATCTATTCAGTAATTTAAAATCTTCACATAAAGATAGTAAGAAATCCAATGGTTTTATGGTAAGTTCTAGCAAACATTCAAGGACCCCAAAATTATAACCGTACACAAACTATCCCAACATACAGAAAAAGACCAAAAATTCACCATCCTTCTATAGGGCGAACATATTCTACTTACGTTTTGCAAATCAACAGAGAGCTGCTGAATGAGTGCTTGAAGCTCTTGTTCCTTTTGTTCCAGGGCTGTGATCTTATTTTCTGCACCTGTCTTTGAAGCTATCACATGATCTCTTCATTGAAAAAAAGCAGATAATGAACACATTTGGCTATCTCATCTAAGACACAATCTTCCGAAGAAAGAATACAAATGATTCCTTCTATGTCAGGGCTGTAAGCATTACTAGCCACATGAAGGTTATCAATGGAAAAAGACTCCCTGGCTCTCTCTGAAGCAGAAGCCAAAAAAGAAAAAGTCCACCCCAAAAGTCCTGATGCACTTTTGCTTACTTAATAGATTATAAACTGAAATCACATGAAATTGCTCAGCAAGGTTGAAACTATTCTGAGCCCAGGCAGGTAAAGAGAGAAAGGGTTGGAGTAGGATGGGCCCTGAGTCCTCAGCAGGTAAGGACACGTCCAGAAGCTTTTGCTAGTGCCAGAATCGGAAAGTGCTGTGACGAACAATGGGAAAAGGTGGGTGGGCCACGGTCAGAGCTGCGCTAACATGTCTTCCCAAGGGCCCCACAGACCAAGCAAGAACCTCTGCTCTTCCAGCGTTGAGTAGTGTCTCTGCAGTTCTTCTAGCTTCTGGCTTAAGTCTGATGACATCTGATTGGAGGTCATCAACTCCTCCTGGGTGTGACTAAGTTCTCTGGTTCGTGCCTCCAATTCATGCTCCATTTTCCCCAGACTTTCTTCTTTTTTTAAAAGCTGATACAAAGATACAAAGTTTCATTGAGCTACTGCTAAGAAATACGCTTTTAAAAAAATCTAGCTGGGTGCAGTGGCACACGCCTATAATCCCAGCTACTTTGGGAGGCTGGGGCAGAATTGCTTGAGCCCAGGAGTATGAGGCTGCAGTGAGCTATGATCACGCCGGTGAACAGCTACTGCACTCCAGTCTGGGTAGCTTAGCAAGACACCGTTTCTTAAAAAAAAAAAAAAAAAAATCTGGACTAACAGCCAAACTTTTGTAACATTTTTGTGGGGCTATAAGGGGGTTTGTATGTTCAGGAGTTTAAAAAAAAAAAAGGAAAAGAGAAAGGAAATACATTTTAAACAGAACTTTCCCATTTTAATAAATTTTAAAACATACAAATATGATTATTATCAAATACTACTGGGGTATGTTTATCAGTAATAAGAGAGTGATGGCCAGCAAAACCAGAATAAATAATCATCTATTCAGTATTTAGCTATTAAACCAAAAGTACATACCATGTGCTTCACTTTACTTAGTTCCTGCTGCTGGAACCCCTCTAATTCATCCATTTCATCTCTCCTTTGGAAAAGATTCAAACTCTGGTTCTTCATTTCTTGTAACTGAGCTGTCAGAAATCTTTTGTCCTATTGGGGAGATGACATCAACTCAGGCTACTAAAACTTTACGAATCTGTATTACAAAAGAGCAATTCTTAATAAAGGAAAAATCTTCAGGAAATCTTATGCCAATAGACAATAATAATACATTGATAATGGGAAGTGTTACAGTAATGTGACCAATATAGTATTATTTACAAATAAAGTCACGAATAAATGTGCTTTAAATAATTGTGATTAAGGGGAATAAGAACAACAGTTACATGAAACTTTAAAGTTCTTACATCTGCTTCACAAGTCCAGATACATATTTTACATGTCTATTCTTAGTGACATATTGAACTGGCTGAGAAACATGAATGACTGGAGTAAGACTGAATTCCCTAAAAAAAAATAAGTACAGGTAGATTAAATGTAGAACTGATTTTAGTAGTAAAAAAAAAAAAATCAGGTATCACTGGTGTCAGCAGGTTACAGGTTACTGAATGACAGCTTCTCGCAATGGACTCTCTTAAGGACTAACCCTACTGTTGTAGCTGCTAATTCTAAACTGAAAAGAAAATAACATCCCTAAAAAATCAGAGTGGCTTCAAAGATCAAAACAGATGTCTCACTACTCTTTCCTGGTCTGAAAAATTCCCCCAACTCCTCCTTTGAAATAATGAAACAAAGAGAAAATTACCTTAGTAAACCAAAGTAGGTTTGATTTGGTTCAGTCCTATATGGACACACTTTACCATAATTTTAAAAGATAAAAAAGCAGTTCAATGAGAATTTCAACTGCCATAATCTTAAAAGTTTCCTTTATGATAAGAAATCCTTAATCTAGCCCATACCTCCATCATTAACAGTATTTGTTTGGGGATTTTTTTCAAGCACAAGTTTCTTTGGGACTTGACTTTTCTATAATTCTTTCCTTAATAAAAATGTTAATGCATTCTGTTAGCTTGATAATCAGATTTCTACAAAACACAAAGAAAACAGCTGGCTTAACTTGGGTGTTTTATGGAAAGAATGGAACAATACTAAAAGTCATCTGTTTAATAAAAAGAGTACTTTAGAAGTACTCAGTGAAAAAAGGAATGAATTAGGTAACAGCATATTATTTGGGCTGAGAGAGTTGACTATTGATTATTTTGAAATTAAAATGTTTTTCCAATTGTAGGCTTGAAATTTCATCTTCTTGTTTATATGTGGGAGCCAGGAATAAACTACTTAAGGCACCTACACAGTGTTATGCAAGCTATGTTACAAGAGTAATCAATTTCCCTCATCTGTGTCTACCCAAGAGGTTCTTTTACATGCTCAATGCTGAGCCTTGAGAAATGCCCTCCTTCCCCACAGTGTCATCATGAAGTATTCCTATTGTTACCTCATTGCCAGTCAGAGCCCCAGCAGCAAACAGATGGCATACTCAAATTAGGTATTTTGAGGATGGTTTTTAATAAAGGTGCTTATCAATGCTGTGGGAGGGGTAAGACAGCCCAAAACATAATGTGCTAATAACAGTTGGGCATAAAGGCGCAGAAGGATGAAGAGGTTGGAGGGAGGGGAGAAGGAAATTAAAAAGAAAAAAAAAAAGAAAAAAGAAAAAAAAAAGATGAAAAGGTTACAAGAAATCCAGAGAGAGAAAAACTATGTCAAGAGGGAGAATCAAAGGTCCAACTGAAGCTGTGACAGTTGGCCGTGGGATGCAACTAACCAGAAGGGACCCCACATGGAGAAAGCTGGGGGTGTAAACATCCTGACTACACTCTTCTTCCACACACGGTTCTTTCAGTGTTCTCCACTGGCGGAACCCAAACGGAAGCCAGAGGGCATCTGAGCCCTTCTGATGATATAGTCTCTATTTGCCTTCAGGTACACAGAGAGTGGACAAAATATCAGGAGGGGCAAACAAAAGATACCCAGCACACTCTACAAGAAAGGGGAAGATGTAAGCACTTTCCAAATCAGTGTTGAATTATACAGTGCCCTGCTTCCAAGAGGAAGTATAGCAATATATCGGTTTCTGGAAAACATTCTAGAAACGTTTTCATTTTCTAAGCCCCAGAGATGAGACTAACATGACTAATGAGACAAAAACAAAGATCAACTAACCTTTTCAAGCTGATCCATCTTTTCTGACCATTCCTAAAACAAAACAATAAAAAAGTATAGTTTCCAGGGAAGAGTAATTGTGATACCAAGATTTTCAGAAAACAACCCAACTCTCCCAAAAGAACTAATGAAATAAAATGAAAAAGCAAATTAAAAAAAAAACCTATGAAGTTGGCTTAACATTAAGAAAGCCAAGAGTCCTAAAAGGAAAAGAAAATGAACTTTATATAAAATTCTAGAATACAAATATAAGCCTGAAAATTTTTACCAAGCAGGACACCCAAACAAAGCGGTATTTGCTGTTTGCTGTTCTTGAGACAGGATCTGGCTCTACTGCCTGGGCTAGAGTGCAGTGATGTCATCATAGCTCACTGCAACCTCCAACTCCTAAGCTCAAGAGATCATCCTGCCTTAGCCTCCCAAGTAGCTGGGACTACAGCCTTGCGCCACCATGCCTGGCTAATTTTTCTGTTTTTTGTAGGGACAGGGTCTTGCTGTTGCTCAGGCTGGTCTCAAACTCCTGGCCTCAAGCAATCCTCCCATCTCTGCCTCCCAAAGTGCTAGGATTACAGGTATGAGCCACTGCGCTTGGCCTGTATTTGATGTTCTTATGTAGCTTTTCAGCTTATTCCTGGGATTTCTCATGAACACTGTTATTATTTCTTGCGAGTGGTAGCTAGGATCAGCTGAGCTGGTAACTCCGCAACTAATGTTTAGAAATTAATTTACTAAAAGTTGGAGGGGGAGTCTTTGGCAGTCCCCAATAATTATTTTCCTTCTCATCTTGATTTTAACAACATGCTTTATGCCATCTGGCATAAGTCAAAGGAAAGGAATTATGCCCCTATTCACAAACCATAAAATAGTGGGAAAAACAAGCAAAAAGAAAACCATTGGTACAAAAAGTCTTAATTAGAATCCATCAATTTTAGATAATTTCTTCACTTATATACATTCATATCATAGTTATCCACTCCGTATTGGTGAATGATGTTTTTTTCTGGTCAGTAAATGTCCTAGATGATGAATAGACATAAACCAACCAACCACCCCACCTAGTGTATATAAAATAAAATATATATTTCTTAAATGAACCATAATAAATTGACCTTATCTTAATAAATCAGGATTATCAATTACAATATTGATGCTTTTCTTAAATTTAAAATGTCATTGATTATCTTGAACAAAATATATTAAATACTTCATAGTTATTGTAATAGCCAGTGATAGTATTATTATATTTTCCTTTCTTGGGGTCATTCACTCAGCATCTTCCAGTGGATGGTTCTATCGAGAGTACAGGAGTTCACCTCGTCCAGATGGTGGGGTTGAAGAAACGTGCAACAGAGGCAGGAAGAACTATGTACATTATCGATCATGACTAGCTTGATAGCATCTTCTCCACTAAAAAAGGCAAGTGTTTGGGGTTAGGCTTTGAAACAGGTTTTTAGAGAGCAGTGGCCTTTTTCCTTATTTTGGGTCTTGCCGTGAGATTACAGATACACTATTTCCCTTCTCAATTTTGCAAAGCTTCACAGATGCAGGGAATAATACTCTCACATGTTGGATACATTTCACGATTAAAATTGTAAAGTTTCTTGACTTTGTAAGAAAAGGCTAAACAAAATCTTAAAGAACTCACAACATTCCTTTTCTCCTAGTTTGTAAATATTTTCTACAGGTTTATGTCATGATTATTGAAATTACATCACTAAGTTTTAGTGACATGATCTTTCCACCAGTTTTAGGCAGTGTCGCATATAAAATACCTGGTCCTTTCTGGCTAATGCCAAAGCCAGTCCTTCTGCCATTTTGGCTCTGTTGGCTTGGAATGTCTCATTCTGCTCTTGAAATTTCCGCATGGAAGCTGTTAACAAAGAGGCTCTATTTCAGATATGAAAATATTTCAGCATGACAAATAATCCATGTGATTACTTTATAACTGTCACCTAATGAAAAAGACCAAGGTCACACAAGTGGATTATGAGACTAGGAAAAGCCTGATCTACCTTGACTTCCCAGAAGAATCTTTTGGCCTTAGTAATAGACCACAGTTTGTTTGTTTGTTTCCTTGTTATTTTTGTTTTTTTGTAGTAGTCAAGTATACACATTTAGGAAGATGTCAAAAGGTAAATTTTAAAATGGTACAATGACAGAACATTGAGTTAGGTAGTTTGCCAGAAAACGTCAGTTCTGTTGCTAGGTGATGACTACTACCACTTTATTAGAACTATAAAAACAAAAATCAAAACAAAAAAACTTCTTACTTTATTTTCCTTAAAAAAGCTTTAAATGTATATCAACAAAAAAATAACTTTCTACTTCTGTTAGCATCTTTCTTGGACGAAACCCAAAGGAGAACATATGATTTACAGTAGACTAAACAAAATGTATGCTCCATTGCTGTGAGGAATGATGGCAGAGATTTCTCCCAGTAACCAGTAATGAAGCTCCGGCTAGAACCCATCTCCTACTCTAGATCCAAGGGGTAGGTACTAGATTTTATTAAAACCTAACAGCAGCCAATAAATGGGTCAACTTGATAGAGACAAACTGATCCACATAATGACCTTCTGCTAGGAAGCATGCCCATAAGGTACATAAATGCCAAGTTGTATACTTATAAATATCAGACCAATGTTATCAACCTGATTAAGCAGTACACTATTTATAAAAAGAAGATCTGAACTCTCATGAAGGACAAACTTAACTATATACTATTGTTTCATTTCAAAAAACTAAATCCTAAAGAGATTTTAAAAAGCAGGAAAAAATACGTACAATCCTGGTGTTTTTCTAATGCAATTTCAAGCTTCTCTTTTATCTTCTGCAAGTTTCGGACCTGTTCAGCATAGTCTTGGGTGAGGAGGGTGACGCACATACCAAGAATGGACAAACATCAGGAAAGGTAGTTAATTAAACAAAAAAATGAGTGAAAATGATGATGATTTTCTTAACCTGAAAACCATTCCTGTTAAGGAAAGCTAGGCAGACAGCCTCCCACTTACAATGAACAACACAGGCAAACAGGTATAGTACAAACTATCCATGGTATAAATGGTGAATGCAAACAGGCAGATTTGTTTAGCCTTGATAGAAAGTAAGAATTAGGCTTGGTGTCGTCATTAGAAATGCCCTGCTATGAAAAACACAGTATTATCTCATGACGTAATTTCAAATCACAGTTTTCACTTCCCTTTCCAGCCTTAGCAGTAGGACAAATCAAAGGGAACTCACTAAACAGCTTGCTTAGAGTTATACAACTGAGCACCAGTGCTTAGGGTAATAGCAAACACCTTAGCACAGTATTGTCTTTATGGTGAAAAGTACTTAATTCTCTAGAAAAGTGAGCTCCCTTTTTACACAGGAACTGAGTTACCGATTGCATATTAAAGGTGAAAGTCAGAATTAATTACCTGTGTGGCCAAGGAAGACAGTATGTTATAATGAAAAAATAGATAGTAGTTCAAATCTCAACTCCTGGTGACCTTAAGCAAATAACTGGTCCTAAATATTAGTTTCTTCATATATTAAATAATATTAATTGTATCTACCTCAAAGGATGCATTATATAATGTGGTGTTTTACATGTCTTAAAGCACTTCACACAGTGTTCAATAAAAGGTGGCTGGTATCGTCATTGTTATTATACATACTAAGCCTGTGGGACAATACCCAAGACACAAGTGGGCCCAATAAATGTAAGTTCTCTTCCCTGTCATTTCTCTAACATAAGTCAACCCAATTATTCTTCCTTCTGTATTAGGGATGGTACATATTATTTTATAAATATCTCCCCAATGTTAAACAAATGTAAGGTTATTTCACCTCTGTTATATTATTTATGGGTAGGAATAAAAGGATAGTAACAATTGGGTTTTAAATAGACTGTAATTAAGAGAACGGACTCCGGCATCAAGTAAATCTGGATTTGGATCCCAGCTCTACCACTAACTACCCGTGTGACCTTAACCTTGCTAAGTCTAATAAGCCTACAGTGAGAACAACATAATTAACTGATATTTGTGAGCTATGCTATGAAACTTTGATAGCTATACAAATACAAATATTTCACAACAATTTGGTGAATTTTGGTTTGCTGCTCTCACTCCAATAAAATGGGCCAAGGACAAAAAGAGACACAGAAGCTATGGACCACTTTACAGGATGAAGTTTTCGAAATGTATCCACTGCCAGAAACCAAAATAGAAACTCACAATTCTATCATGAACATGCTCTGCTCAGGCAAAGGATTTAATGGCCGCTGTGTAAATTGTAAACTGCACACAAAAGATATAATGAGAGTTACACCATCTATACAGGTGTTGAACTTAGAAATTCCACTGAAAAGTGGCCCAAAGACCTAGAACAACACTTACACAGGTGATATGAGCTGTAGTAAGCAGCAACACAGCACCAAAACCTCTCTGGTGCTAATGAACCCAACATCTGTCGGCCATTCCCTATAAATACTATCCACCTCAAAGTAAGTATGCTAATGGTGGAAGATGGTCAAATCTATTCCATAAATTCTTCTAATATCTTTTATATCCATGGCTAGAAACCTCAGGAGAAGAAAAACAAAGTTTTTTCAAACACATTATTGAATTTATACCAGTCAGTATACTAAAAAAAGAAGAGAACAAAGGGGGTACACATTGCTTCTTTCTGACTAAGGAGATCAAAATGACATGTCAAAACAACTACAAAGTTATCCTATATGGCTGTATTATAGGGAAAGAGGGTCAGGCAAGGCACATTTCCTGTTATTTACTTTTTATGAGTTCTTAGACATACCAGAAAGTCTGGCCTCTAACTTCCGTATCTGTTCATTCCTTCTCAAAAGCTGGGATGAAAGATCTTCTCTGGAGCTGCTTCCATCCGAAGCCTGTTGAGATAGACACAAGGAGAGGTCATGTTCACGTGGGTTTTCAGCAGTGTGAGACCACAGTACTAAGCCAGAAAGTGACAATTCTTATTTTAGGTTTGGTTACACTTTAATTGTGATCATTGAATAGCTTAACATAACTGGGCCCTAGCTTCTCTACCTGGTAAGTAGAGGTCTCCTTCTCATAATGTGAAGGAAAGATAAGATGCTAAACAGATTAATCATGTGTATGTGTGTGCATGCTATTGAAATAAATGGTAGTAAATAAAAATCCATGATTGTATTACATCAACCATTATACATAATATAAAATATATATTTTCAATGATAGAAAAAATCACTTTATCTTTCCAGAGGTAAAGTTCTGGGATAAAGGGGAGAGGGTTCTTAAACAAGGGAACAAAGGCTGGTCTATGACTAAGAATCTTTCACTGAGGCTGGGCATGGTGGCTTATGCCTGTAATTCCAGCACTCTGGGAGGCTGAGGCAGGGAGTGCTGTGGCGTCAGGCTAGCTCACAGCAACCTCAAACTCCTGGGCTCAAGCAATCCTTCTGCCTCAGCCTCCCAAGGAGCTGGGACTACAGGCATGC